GATATTTTCAGTGCCCTAAGTTGGTAAGCAATCCATTTGGCATCTGAAATTCAGCACATTTATCAAATGAGTTTTATTATAGTCTAATTCTATGGTATTTCTTTGGAAACATATTCTGTTTAATATCAGAGGAAAAGCAGTAAATTTGTCTTCTAGAATACTTGGTTAGTTCTGTTTATAGCACTTTGATTACAGTAAGCACAATATGCCTCTATGTTCTGAAGTATGAAGAGGTATTAAAGTAAGTTTTAAAATTTAAAATGATTATTCTTTTTGGCACTTATGCATAACCTCCTGCAGCTGTCTTCATATACAGGACAATTTTTCATCTTGTGTCCTGATCTGAGGAGAAACAGATTTGCTACTATGTTCAGCATTTTCCCAGATGAGCAGAATTAAACTAAAATAGGAAAACACTGGCACTAAGACATAGCAATCACTGTCACAGCTAGCAACTGAAAATAAGTAAAAGGGCGATAATTTGAAGACTATTCTGATCATAAATGTATGCAATAATAACAGGAGATTCATAATGAACTTGCATCTAAATAATAGATTTTTTTTTGAGTTTCAGGGGATATAAGTGAAGAAAATGATAGATAGCTTTTTATACATGGCTACCTTTACATTTTTGTAAAATATACTTGGAATTTAGTCTGCAAAACTTTTTTTTTTTATTATCTATATTTAATCAAAGAAAGTAGTTTGAAGATTTACTGTTTGCTGATTATGCTGTCTAACAGTTCTCTTTAACAATGAGGTGTTAATTGACTTTTTATCAAGCATTTCCAGAGTCGTGGTCATGCTTATTACAATTGAGAGCAGAAAACTTATCCTTTTTTTATAGTAAAATAATGAATAGCATTCATAAAAACAATGAGAATAATAATGACAATGTAATATGTAGTATATATAATTTATTAAGCTCTGCAAAATGGCCTCAAAGCTGCAGTGTATACAGGTATCTTATGAAAACATGCCTAGAGTGTAGATTCAATTATTTGGACTGATAATTTCTTAGCATTCCTGTTCTATTGGACTAGTAGCCTTAATAAAATATTGGCATAAACTCATTTTGCAGAAAGATAAGGAATCAAAGTGGCAAAGTGTATTGGTTTAGTAAACAGGAAAAGGAAATGTCACCTAGCAGACTTTTCTATCTGTGGACATTTCATTGATTTTAGTTGATTTCTGAACTTATATGACAGTCTGTTCTTTTACTCTATAAATATTGTAAGGGTTGAAAAAAGCGGGAGACATATTTTTCAAATGTGATCGTGCCCTATACACTATAATTGGGCTTATTTTTCTAAGCACATAAATACATTGGTCAGATGTCTACTGGAATGTGGTTATAGCTAAGAGGCCAACTCTCAGAACCCCAGAGTATTCAAAGTGTATTTAGAAAGCCCTACTTTATGAGGGAAATGTTTGGTTTTTTTCCAGCTTAGTGAGATTTCGTATAAATTTAGAATACATTGAGTGCATTCTTTCCTAAAAACAGGCCATCCTTTTCAAGTTATTCCTTCTTTAATATCTGTTGCTGTGACAAATCATTAGGAGGCAAGACTGGGTTCTTGGGAGGTTTGGGTTTGGGCTTTTTTTGTTGTTGTTTTTTGTACTATAAATCCCCATCAGACTGTGTCTATTTCTCATCCACCTTGAGAAGCTTTTCTCAAAAAAATCTTTGATCTTTCCATGGCATCTTTGCCCTGTATTATAGTTTCTCAGCAGATAATGAAGCATTTCAGACATCCTGTAGAGAAGAAGTAGAGGTGATCCATTCCTGAATTCACACCATCAGATATACATTTCTGTTTGCCCACAGACTAATGAATAACACAACATTCCACCAGTTTGTGCTGCCCTCTGCACCTTTCCATAATGTGGAATTTCTTTAATATGATTTGTGCAATCCTTCACTGAAATATTTTGGTTCTTGCATGAGAAAAGCATGTTCCGAGCCTCTTCTCCTGCCATAATTTCAGTACTTACTTTCTGGAGGGGCTATATTCAGTATTTTAGCAACAGTTTTCTCCACAGAATTTTTTATTCTGCTAGTGCTACATTCAGTCAGGTGCCTGCGATGTTGAAATTGCCCAAACCTTTTTGCAGTCAACTGCTTGACAACATGTTTTATTTCTTTTATTCAAAATCTTGCATTTGAAGAAAGATTGATGCCTCTGCAGATACCATGCAGCAAAATGAGATTATAACATCCTAATTCTGTTCTGCATTCAACAGCAAACAGCTGTCTGCTGCTCCAAGAAAGCAGGGTTCTATCACGTGTAGCAGTGACTTGGGAAGATAAGCACCATCACTCCTTCCTCTTTCTTTCTCTTGCTTTGTACACCCAGCATGATGCCATATTTGATGGAATATTCATTGGATCAGTTGGCTGTCTTGGCTGTGTCCCCTCCCAACTCCTTTGTGCCACCCCCTCTCCTCACTGCAGTGGCAGTACAAGAAGCAGAAAAGGCCTTGACACCATGTAAGTGCTGCTTGGCAAAAACAAAATAAAATCTGTATTAACAGTATCAACAGTGCTTCCAGGTCAAATCGAACCTGTAGTGCCATACAAGCTTCTGGGAAGAAAGTTAACTCTACCTCAGCCTAAATCATCGCAGAGTCCAAACCTAAGAGTCTCAAGCATCCCAGAAATTACAGGGTGCTCTTTTCCAAGGATGCAATGGCCTTGATAATGCAGGGCACTGGTTTCCAAGCACCGTGTCCTGCTGGAAGGGTTAATCAGAGTTTTGCTGAAATGAGGCAGTGCGAGGGAAAAACCTTATCCCTACATGCTTTTCTCCAATCTCTAAGGATAATTATGGTCTACATTTTATGAGACGATTGTTGCATGGAATGTGGAATTTAAGTGCCTGGAGAACTGTGCTGAGCAGGAGGGGTCCATTCTTTGGCTGCCTGAGGAAGATCCAGCTGGGTGCTTGACTGCTTTTTGCCAGGAGAAATGCACTGTAGGCTTTAAGTCTTTGGAAATTCTCTGAGGCAGAATCTTTCTTCAAGCTCTCACTAGTCGAAGGGAGTTCTGCTTTGCCTCTTAGACAAAACCTAGTGCCAAAGCTCACTGCAAGTCTTTCCTGCTGAGGTTGAGGCATGATGTTACAGGCCTTGTTCCTGTATCTGCTTGTGCAGGCTTTCCAGAAGATATTTTTGTAATAGTTTTGACTATGGGACCTTGATATTTTTCTTTTTCCACTCTGTAGTGTGCTATTTTATTCAAAGTTTAAAAGAAGAAATTCAAGAGGTAGCAACAGTGTAAAACTGTGCTGACAAAAGAACTTGGAACAATGTAACTAAAATTTGAGGTACCATAGGAAATGCCATATTGTTTTTAAAACCATTTTGTTAAATTAAGACCTTGCTTTGATAAAATAATTGTTGCTGATACTTAAAACCATTTTTTTTAGAATCAGATATTTTTGCTAACAGTAATATTAAATATATACTAATATCATATTCAGTGCTGCGGGCTGTATTCTGGGACGTGTTAAAATTTTATTTTCAGCTAATGTACCTAAACATGAATCTGCTAGTAGATAGTAAAATGCTTCAATACCATATAATAAAGAAAACTTCCATGACTTTTCCCCTAACATAGATAATGGGAGTTCTGTTTTTTTTATAAGTTTGAATCTTTCAGAAGATCTATAGTAGTACAGAAATAGTGTGTAGGTGGCCAGAAATGGTGTAGCTCTTTCTTTTGCAGTTGTTTTAAATATTTGCAATATTGATGCACATGTGTCTTGTTTCTTCTTCCAATTCTGTTAGAGCAATATAAGTAAGTACTTTGGAAGATTATAATTATTACCTTCTATGTGAGGAAAATGGGCTCACACTCTACTGTTTTTGTTCTGTGTTTTTGTGTTTATTTGGAAATACAAACAATTAGTAGTGGCAGAGTGCAAGTTTATCACACAGGTTATACTCTTTAGAACCTCTGAACTCTACAAAGTCTAAAAAATTTCTGCACTATTGCTGCTATTACCTGATAACTAGAGGTCCAATTTTTTTATTTTTAGAGTAAGTGTTGTGAATATACCAGCAGATTTCCAAAAGTTCTCTTGTCATGTGGCTTGTGATTTTCTATTCTTTTTTTTCATTTTTTCTCTCAATAATATTGCTCCAAATTAGTAAACTTCCCAAACTAAATGTTTCCATGCTAGAAGGATGTAAAAATAGAGTTCTTCTGCTACAGTTGTATAACCATCTGGTTAGTTTACTTTTCAAGCGTTCAGTCTATTAATTTGAATTTCTTCTCTGGGACGTTTATCAGAACAACACAGAACTTGATCTTTCTTCTTCAAATATGGTGTTGAGACTTAGATGAACTCATGAGATTTCCTCAGAACAGCTTGCAGCCTGTCTCCTGGACATGGGTTTGGGTACAGTTTTAGGTATTAGGGTCACTTTCGTGCAGGTCAGATTGAGTTACAGTAGTTATTTCACTAAGTGGTAACCATATTCTTTCCTCCCCCAGTTTATACAAGAACTGTTGCTGTTTTAGCTGATGTGAGGCAAATGATGTGTGGATAGGGAGTGTCCTTTCCTTTTCTTGTGGATGTATGTTGTGCTTTCTTTTTCATCTCTCCAAGATCCAGAGCTCTGCAATAATGCTCTAAATTGATATTTCTCTAATGTTGTTTTGTATGATTAAAATTACAACATTTCATAGCTGTTTCTCAAATGAAAAGGAATGACCTGATAGGATCTTCAGTAAAAAGAGTTGAAAGATTCAGAAAACAATGAAATGGACTTCTGTGCAGGGAGCTATTCAAATGTCTATGCAATGTTTTTGGATACGTTAATTTCTTTATGCAACAACTTAGGAAATGTTATTGAAAATACCACACATGACAAAGAAAAATGGAGTTTAATTATTTGAAAGCAATTATCTCACACTATGTGAAACAGCCTCTTCTTGTCATGAGCAAAATAGAAGCATTAAGCCTTTTATAACATTTCTTTTGATGTTTTTCTAGGATGGAATAAAAGATGAATGCTCAGTGCTGAAGCTGCAGCTGAAGGAGAGGGACGAACTCATAGCCCAGCTTCGTGAGGAGCTGGTAAGCAGGAGAAACAATGGGGGATTTTTCTGGGTGGTTTTGGGTTCATTTCCCTGATAATGTCACTCCAAGGCCAGATATTAAAGAAATACAATTTCACACCTGCAACAGAATTACTAGCCTAAGGCTATGTTAATCATTCAGATTCACATGATATCACTGACTGTACTTTTCTAGGGATTTGGCAGCCTCTGAAGTGGTTACTGTCTAGGTTCACTGCTTGTAAAAGTTACTGTGAAGACATTGTGTTGACAGTTGTCTGATCAGAGGGAGATAAGCACAGCACTGTATGCATATGCCAGAAATCTTGAAGGGCCATGCAAATGCCTGATAAATTGTCAGTACTTCTCCCATGAGCTGCTTTTCACATCTATGAGATTCTTCAGTAGAAAAGGAAATAAGGTTTTTTTCCTCTCCATAATAAATGTTTTTGCATAAAATAATAAATATTCTTATAAGTGCTGAACCTTTACTTAGCATATGAGCTACTAATGCTTGGCTACTGCTGCTTTAAGGATTGATAAAATACTTTCCAGTGACTGAAGCAAAATACATGATTCAGCAATTGAAAAAAAAAAAAAACCTTAACAGATGAAAATGGATTTTATTATTTTGCTCAGTCTGTGGTAACAGAATTTTAAGATTGCTTGTGGTTAAAGCATGGATGTCTTCAGTATTTTCAAATAAATGAGAGGGAGTTTTCACCCCCTCTCTCACTGCAGACAAATCCTGTAGGGTCACCACCTTCAGGAGGACACTCAGCACATATATTCTTTCCATGAAAACTGCAGCCGTGTGCGCACCTAGGATTTTGTCTAAGCACCCTTTCAGACAAGGGTTTGTTTCCTTAATTAGATCTTAATTTGTTGATCTACCTCAGGGGATTTTTGTGCCTTTCTGTCTTGTGCCTCTCATGCCTAGCTCAGAACTCAAACAGAATTAATTCAGGTCTAGCTATTACTGCATTTTTTTATACTCACTAAAAGCAGGAGTGCACTTTTATGCCAAATAACTTGAGTTTCAAGTTGCATGGGAAAAATGTTATCCTGCCCAAGACTGAAACATTTCTTTGCTATATTAACATCTGCAATATAAATACACATCATTAATATTCTTTGGTTTTTATTTGGCTACATTAAGAAATGATGTATTGTGTAATTATTATCTAAAATTAAATGACAAAATGGGACACAGGGTGCATCAAACTTCTCCACAGTCCTGGAGCATTAATTTTATATCAGTCTAGTTCAGAACATATGCTATTTAACTGGTGGACATTTTTGTCATTGTAAAATTACCATGTATTGATGCAGGGAGCTGTAGCTCATTTGCTGTTAACTGTTGTCAAAATTCATCTGTGTATACATCATTTGATGAGAAAAAGACCCACAGGGAACCATCATAATAGAAAAAAAGTACAACTTCCCAGGGCCTTGAAATAAGGATTTCTGTATGATTGAAAATATTGTGGATTCAATCAATGATTAATTGACTTCAGTTTTGACACTCTAAGACTTGTAAAGGAAAGGAGGTGGGATACTTGAGACCATGTTTAGTCATTTGAAATTAAGCTTTGAAAGGACTCAGTAGATCTGATTTACTCCTCATTGAACTGACTAAAGCCAGGTTGGGAGGTGAACATGATAGAACTATTTTAGTTTATGAAACCTAGAAAAAAAAAGTGGGAACACCATAGGGGAAAAAAGTTTGTTTTTAGTGGTGTAGTTGTGGTGGATTTTTTGTTTGTTTGTTTTTTGGGTTTTCTTTTGTGTGTTTTTGTTTTCTTGAGTTGTCTAAGTACAGTCATAGATGTACTTTTAAAATATCTACTGTATCTTCTGCAATACTGTGCATACATCCAGCACCCTTTTTCTGGAGCTGCCCTGGGTCCTGCCACCATGGCATTGATGAAGTTGGCTCCTGGTTGTGTGAGATACTCTTAGAACTTTTTTCAGTGTGCTCTCGAGTGAAAGTAAGCTGTCTTTCCGAGCTGTAAATTAATTAAATTTGTAATGGTTGCCAGGAAATTCTGATTATGTTTTCTTAGCTTGCATAAAACTGACCAAAAAATTGATGTGAAACATGCATATTCTGCAAATGCTGCATTTACTTGAATGTTTTTGAGACTGTAAACATTTGGAAAGTAAATGTTTACAACAGTTAAGAGCAGTAATTTTTGCCTAATGAAACTGCAAGTATTTTCACATAGCTGCAATTTATTACAGACATTGCACATAGAAAACTAAAACTTTTGTTCTTGTATCTTGGGGCAGACCATGTTCCATTTGTCATTCTTAATATAGAAATAGAAAATTTGTAAATGCAACTGGCCTGTCTTGAAATCATGGCATTCTGATGCTAATTCACAAATAGCACATAAAAATTCATTTGAGTAGGAATCAGTTTTATGCTTCTTGAGAAGTACATGAAAATTTGTACTTTCCAGCATTCAAGTTGAATGTTTGCAAGTAGGTTTAAAACCCTTGCTTAGCTGGTTTTACTGCAAAACTCTTCAACTAACCCAGAGTGAATTTGGGCAAATTTTGGCTCTCTGGGAGTTTTTGCTTCTTGCTTTCCCCTAGATTTTCTAGGCTTTTCAAGTAGTTTTCCTGTCTGATTTTTTTTCCCCCTAATTTTTAAATACTTTTTAAAAAGCATTTCTACCTCATTTGAGTCCATTATGAAGGAAACCTTGAGATGAGGAAAATGTGAAGGGAGTGTGAGCTGATGAAGCTTCAGAACTTGCAATTGTTACATAGTTTTTTAAGGGTGAAAAGGCTAAATACTAGAGAAATGAAAATATGGGTTTGGATGCTCAGTTGCAATACCCTGGTAGAAAGGATTAAATACAATGGTATTTTATTTAAAAATATTTATTATATATATAATATATATATTATTTGTATATTTTATATGTAAAAGAAATGGTAGGAGCCATCACCTACCTCCTAATAAACCAAAAAGAACATAGAATTGTCTCTTGCAGATTTGTAGTTTGTTCTCTTTTTTAGTGATTAGTTTTTATTGACTACCTTTGTCACCAGAAGTGTGGCTGTCTTTGGAGAAATAAAGATAGGTAGGTAGAGAAGTTGAATTAATTCTTCCATCTTCCATTATCTCCTGAAATATGCCTGTTTCTGAAATGTCAGGTACACCAACCTGCTCTAAAGCTACCTGGAAATGGTAAACTTCATCAGGAATTGAAAATTCGGGTTCAAACCGCCACTTTTCTCAAAACTGTACTCATTTGTGAGAATGTTCTCCAGGGAATCAAATTAAGCACGTCCATTCTGCAGGGAATGTGCTCTTCTTTTCTCGTCTTTTATTCCCACTAAAATAACCAAAATAAGTAAACATCTTCATTTTCATTGGCATGAAGATATTTGTAACCTCAGCTGTCTCATACCCAGGTCTGCCTGCAACTGCATCTTTCTGTATATTTTCCCAAATTGATATTTTTGCACTGCAGTGTGAGCATTTACAATGACTTTAAGCAGAAAATATTTTCATGCTATATTGGCAAAAATAACTGACTGCTGATTACAGTAACATTTATTCTATTGCTGTCATTGGTACAGCAACATTCACGCTGAAAAACGAGAGTTAACACCATTATCCTTTCAACCTTGATTCCCTATGTGACTTAAGTCGTGTTGTGCCACTAAAATGAAAAATGTAGTGAGGCAGCTTGAGTGGATTCTAACTGGAACCGGAGGTAAAGTTAGGTCAGGAAATTAATCCCCCTTATAGCCCAGCTGTTGGGAGTACTTTTCTGCCATGGAGGTGGCTCTTTATCAAATGCTAGACTTTCTGCATTTATAGAATAGTGAGGTACAGTGCTTCCTAAGTGGATTTGAAGTTACTCCTTTCAGACTAGTTATTCTGGAGTTAGCTCAACAAAATATAGCTGCCCAATTTTTATTTTTTAAACTTTTTTCCCTTGTTTTTTCAAATCATAAATAAGCTCTACCTCCCTGCCCAAAACTTAGGTTAAATTATTTGAGGGGAGGGGGTTGGTGGGTGATTATTTTTGGTGAGGAGTGGTTTTTGTATTTGTTTGTTTAGTTGCTGTATCCTAAATACAGTGTATTCCTGGAGGGCAAAACTGATGACAAGCTTAGCTGTTTTCTGTAGGTTGATTTCAATAATGGGCAATTAGCCAATTGCTCAGTTTTCGAAGTATGGTGAGGATGAGTACTTTTCACTCAACTTTGAAGTGTAACAGAAAACCTTAAATGCATTTGAATCCTGCTGATGAACTGTTGATGAAAAACACTTACGTTAAGTGTAAAAATCACCTCAAAATGTAGTTATGCCAATTCAGTTTCCTTGAATTTTACAGTCTTAACATCACATCTTTGCCTTTGTCAGGCAAAGAATGAGATTGGGATAAAAATGTCATGAGCACATGGGGAAAATAATTTTTTGAGTTGTTTTCAAAAAGAGAAATTTTCATTAGTCCAGGCTACTTTTAAAATTTTAAAAACAGTTGCCCTTGAAATTTTAAAGACATTAGATTGTTCCCATTTGAAAAGGATAGTAGTCCTTGTTTTTAGAAAAAAATCTAGATTATTCTTTACACTGTTTACCCATTCGCTTTACAATCTGCAGGTTTGTAGTCTTATTTCATGTTGGCTGTTTTTATGAGAGTGTGTTACAAGACACATGGATAATTTACATAAGAACCAGCATTTGTAAGTAATCTCAAATCCTCTTTCTTCACCATATTTAGGAAAAATTAGGAGTAGAAAAGAAATAGATGAGGTGTGCTTAAACATTATTAAAGTGTCAGGCATCTTCTCCCTTTTTTGCAAGAGAATTAATTGCATGTATTCCAGAAGAGTCTTATCTGAGCAGTAATTGCTCTCTGAATCAGTTCCACAAGACAGACATAGACATGGAGTGTGAAAATGGCAATATCCTACAACCCACTATGGGGATTAGGCTCCAAATCCTTGTCTACACCAGTCCCTTGATGAAAAGCTGCCAGTCAGATAGGA